AATCAAGTCAATAAAGTTGACGAACTCGTGCAGTAAACCCAAAGAGAAAGCAGAAAAAACGAAGAACAACGATGAATAAAGAGGCCAAAGTTTTCAACTCAATTTTCTTGGGCATTTTGCTTAGTAATTTCTCGTTGCTTTGCATCTTTGGATCTCCTAAATATTTATGCTATTATGATGTGCCTCAATTTATGAATTTGCCAAAGTATTTAGTCAATAGCTTATAGAAAGCAAACACGAAAAAAAAACACAAAATGGAACGAAATGAGGAAAAAGTTGGCTGCATATTTTATTTATTATTATGTGCGCTCGCTCGCAGCTCGGGGGACCATCTTATCGATGTCAGCCTGTACAGTCTGAGTGCGAGGTCTTGAATTTATGTACAAAGTTTCAGTTTAATGGGCACAACTGCAGGGCACTGAAATCCTAATGGAAAGTCTCTCCGACCCGGACACTTGATATTGTGGTAGGCACAAATTGTGAGAGAAAAAAAAAACATAGAAAAAAATTGGAAATATTAAAAAAAATTCCAAAAGTGAAATGGTTTGTCAAAGTTTAGCAGAAAGTGGATCAGGCAATGCAATCAGTGAAAAAATCAACGGAATATTTTTGTTTGTAATTTTTCCAGCTTTAGTTTAAGCCCCTTGCATAAAATATGAACTTTTCACACTCAAATTAAATTGAAAATGAATTTTCGTAAGTTTGCAATTAGCTTTATGTGGAATTATTTATGGCATTCCATTTGTGCAAATGTCAAAAGTAATTTGATGTCATTCAAATTATTTAAACAAAGTACAAAAAAGCAATGAAAACTAGAGTAATTAAATTAGGTTTTTGTGACGTAATCAAACACATATCAAATAGATTTTGTTTTGTGTTGGATGGCACACAAAGGCGACTTTAATTAAATAATTGATGGCTTTTGATGTTGGCGCTGGCAAAAGCTAACAAATGATATACTCTAAATCGCAACGTAAATGTGGAAAATGTGGCAAATGTGAGAGCTGCGCGGCCGACAAACGGAAATTTCGAGCTGTGTTTCCCTTAGCCCAAATTGGGCTGCACAAATTCCATTACCCCAGCAGGCGAGGCGACGCGACCAAGTCTTAACTAAAATTATTTAGATGGCACACCAAAGAACAAATATACCAGATATGAATGTGTGCATGTGTGGCTGAATGTTTGCCTGGGTGTGTGTGTGTGTGTGTGAGTGCTTCAGTGTGTGCGTGTGTGTAGGTGGCATGTGGTGTGGCTCTGTCCTGCAGCGCATGCACTAAGGCAGAACCATTGTTCTAATGCCCAACTGATGTCGCTGGCTGACATTAATATACCCTGTAAATGGCGAAGATAAGCAGTGATGGACGTATAACATTTTTTTCATTTGCTTTGCAGCAATTTAATTTACTGAAACAAAATTTGTAAAAATATTTTAGCTTTTGATTTGATTAAAAGAAAAAATGTATTTGATTATAAAATTGAAGCAATAAAATATGTTCTATATTTATGTAAGATGCTCGAGAGATGTCATAAGAGGACCATATTCAGCTCTTATATATATATACCGTTCTGTTATGACATCATTCTAAAAATTCTAATAAATAATATTTATATTATTATTATTTATTATATTACATTTATGTTATATTTCATTTCTACATTTTTGTTTTAATATATATATATATTGTTCTGTTATGACATCATTCTAATATATTACATTTATATTATTATTATTTATTATACTACACTTATATATTCTGGTTTATTTGTATATTTTTGTTTACTTATATAAATTTAAAA